CCATCCTGCGCCTTTGGGAGGCTGAGGTGAGTGGACTGCCTGAGCCCGCGGGTTCGAGACCTCATCTCTACAATACATCAAAAAAATCAGCCGGGTGTGGTAGCGCATGCCTGTAGTTCCGGCTACTCGGAAGGTGAGGCGGAAGGATCGCCGGAGCCCAGCAGGTGGAGGCTGCGGGGACAGGGAGTGGCCACTGCACTCCAGTCTGGGCGACAGAGTGAGACTCCGACTCAAAAAAAAAAAAAAAAAAAGAAAGTGTGTGGCAATGGCCAACCTGGTCTTCCATTCTAGCCTCAGATTAGTGGCTGGGCATGTGGCCCCACCAGAAACACCTGAAACTTCTGCATTTAGAGAGGTCTAAAATACACACAGATAGACGCAAGCTCTGAGGAGGGTAATAAGGATACCGTAAGTCGTCTCAATCCTGTATATTGCCTGGAAAATGTGAATAATGTTGGTGTGGTATCCCAAGGGTTAGATTCCTTCTAAGGCAAGTTTAACACAAGCTTTTCAGGGAATAGACAACTTCCACGTGTGTCATTCTTACAAACTGAATTTTTATTTTTACTAAGTTATCTATGTTTAAAAAAAAAATCTGTGCCTGGCGTGGAATTTCACTCCATCAAGTGTTACAATGACTTTTTCATTTTCATTACAAGCAAGAGAATGGATGTAGGACAAGTGTTAGGAAACATTGCAATAAATTAGAATATAATTTACAAAAGCCAAAAAAAAAAAAAACAAACCAAAAACAGTGTACCACATTAATACTGAATATAAAATAATAAGCAACAACTAATCACAATAATACAAAGGTAATTTTGTTCTGTATTATTAAGGATATCTATGTGACATTCACTCAAATGAAAAAGTTCCTAATAAAATGGACTGTTTAGAAGTCATATGTGTCTCAAGGGGTTTAATCATTTGGGTACGTTTACTGTTCCTTTTTTTGGGAGGTCTTTACACCAGTGGCAGATACTGTTCTTAGCCACAGGGTACCAGTTTCCTTGGGGTTCCTTAAGTAGTCTATATAGCTCACTACTTTGGGAGGGTCTGCCAGGGTGGTCCAGCCCCCACTGACCATCCTACTATTACTTAGGAATCGGGCATTATGTAGTCATGTGGGTGGCTAGAGTAGCAGCGGTATTGTCATGTGCTATGGAATATAGTGTGGTTTTTTTTTGGTTGTTGTTTGTTTGTTTTTTGAACCTACTCGGGTTTAAATTCCAGGCCTATCTGAAATTATTTAATCCTGCTATGTTCTGTGCTTGGTTCCCTCTAGAAAGGCAATCCAGTGCTGCCCAGGGAGCTGTCTGCATCCTGACCTCAGTGCTGGTGCACAACCCAGGCAGTGCTGGTGGTCTCCTCTTCTAGCACCAGCCAGGCACTGCAGTGCCCAGGGCAACACCCTTGCAATGGTAGTTTCCAGGTGAGGTAAAAAATAGCCTTTAGTCAGTCATGTAAGAAATCTTTCTGAAATAAAAACATGAGCTGATATTTACGTTGGAGAAAATCAGATCCAGATTACGAACCTACGCCTAAAATGCCACAAAAAACACCCACCCTTTGTTTATTTGTTGTATTTCACCAAGGCACATTAGCACCAAGTTAACTGTTCTTTCGAAAGGACCAAGGGAATTCAGTGCTGGAGCCATGCTGCCCATGGAATGGGCCTCCTTCCTTTCACTGAGTGGCTAAGATGGCACTTGGGCTTGTTTTCTAAGGGGGCTCTCATAATATCTCTTGAATGGCCAATAGCTCTCTCAGGAAAGCTCAGGGATGAGATCTGTGGTGTTGAGAGAGAAAGCAGGCAGTAAGATACAGACAGTCGTGACTGAATTTGCGGAAAGCATCCCGTGCCAACTGTCCACAGCAACACTTGGGAGTCTAGGTTGGCTGTTGGTGTCTGAAAGACTTCTGCCTTTCAAAACACCCCCGATCATCCACAATCAGTCATGGTGTATGTGACACAATGGCGCATAGTTTCAGAGCACAGTGACGGGATGAAGTCACACATGCTCTTTCACTGCAAGAATTAACCTTACAATGTAGCCATCGAGTCTTGAGTTTTAGGAGTTGGTGTATGCATGGTATACCTGTGTGTACAACAAGGAGGCATGCTCGGCGCCAGACACATTCATCAAGGACCTGCTGCAGGCTGTAAGTGTTCAAGTACAAAACAGTCATATAAACAAGTACCCTTTATTTTTTAATTTTTAATCTTGCTGCTGAGTCTTTTGATGAGCAGGACATGAAGGCTGAGGACAGGGAAAATATGAGCTAGTCATTTAAATTTAGGTGGACGTGATCCTAGAATTCGACTTGCCCAAGAAACTGGGTTTCACATTTAATTGCCATTCAGAGTATCCACAAAAAATACAAAAGACTTGGTTGAGTGACTATTACAATTATACTTTAGGATTGCTGGTCTTCATGAGATTCTCGTCTTTGGTTGTCATCCCTTGCCTACGTTAACACTCACAGAAATAGCACATTGATGTGCAAGCACACTCATCTATCCACACACTTAGAAGCGCTCGCACACACACACACACTTGCTTTCATATAAATAAATGCCCTTCGACCATATCAAAGAAGGGGCATCTGGAACCCATCATAATTGTCTGCAAATTGCAAAAGGGGCTGCCTGGGAGTTGCTGAGCCAGTCTATCTTTTGCATGGTATTGCCCCAGTAAGCACAAGATGTGTGCAGCAATCCAACAGGGCAGAGCCGTCCTGTGGCTGGTGAGGACGTCAACACAAGTGAGTTGGGGCGACTCAAATAGGAACGGACGTGTCCCGTGTGATGGCAGCAAAGGGCCTGGTTCTTGAGTCTCTACCATACCTCAAGTCTGGCTTCTGCATGGAGTTGAAATGTTTTTCTCTTAAAGTTTTAATGGAAATCTCAGCCTCACTTGCACAATGGCAAGTTGGCCACAGTCTTTCAGCACTGAGTTTATAGACTTGCACAGCTGCAGTAACTGATGCACTGCTTTAAACTAAGTCCCTCATTATTGTTCAGTTTAATATAGTTTTATATATGGCTCACAGCAGTGTTCAGAACAGGGGGCTTATTCTCAAGGAAATTAAGTGGAATGAAGAAAAATAATACAAACTTTCATTACTTTTGATTTATAATTGCTCCTTAAATTATAGTTCAAAGCCCGTCTTATAATTTAAATTGTGGTGCTGTGGTAGTGAGATAAAGTATAGTAAATATTTTTAAGCTATGACTTAAGAATTCTGAATCTTCTTTACTTCCATAGTTGACCAAGTCACAACAGCTACATTTTAAACAGTTTTAAATACAAATGGATTCAGTGTCATTGCTAAGTCCATAATAAAAATTATCTTAATGGTCCAAGGAGGTAAACAGGCTATTGGATTTACTCGAAAGAACACAAACGCTCCACAGTAAGCAAGTCTCCCTGGGTTGTTTGGATCTTTCCAATCTGGCATTCCCTCCTAATACTGTGTCCAGCACTTTGGATCAATAAATCCCACTTCACAGAAGTTAAAATAATATTGAAATCCTGTCAGCTAGGGCTGACCAGTGGTTACGTTTTCCACAGGGTAATGCATTTGCAAGGACATCAATCCTCTTCCTCTGGGTGGCTCTCTTTGATGGACGCATTTTCACGATGAAATGACAAGGCTCTCTCTCTGGCTTTCCATGGGTCAGTGTCCTTGGCAGGTCTTACAACACATCTGTCTGAAGTATGCTCGACTGCAGAACTTGAACTTCAGCACCAGTGGGCAGTAAGCCACTTTGTTCACATCTTTGCACTCTAACAAAAGGGGGCAGAAAATGGAAAACAATTAGAGGCACATAAACAAGGACATAAACAAGCCAATGCGCCTGAATGTTCGGCAAGGACCCCCTTTGGGCCAGTCCACCTTGGTGTCTAAATCCATGTGGGTTTTGTTTTGGTTTTTAAGCATACCCTGCCTGATATGCTCTATCAGAAGTATTCTTTTGATATATTTTAACACAAATTTTTAAAAAAATGCTTGCAAACCTTTTCTTCCAGACTTTTATAAGTATGGTGCATGCCCACTGTGTCTTGAAAGAATTACCATTTGTTGGGATAAGTGATCACTTTAGACAGCTTGGAAACATGAGTCATTTTTCTTACAGCACTTTTATTGCTTCTTTCTCAAGGGTTATTTTATTCAACACTGCAAGGTTATCCAAAATCAAACATGAGTTGCATTGTTTGATACCAAAGTACACATGTCTCAAGAGAATCTTTGCATCTGTGCGGCGTGGGGATGGGCCTGGGCGAATGCAGAGGATTGCTGACAGTGGCCTGGATTCAGCAGCTACACTAGACAAAGAGGAAAGCTTTGAGGGGTTGGCCTCAAATGGCAGCAGTCTGTGGGTTATGGAAACATGTAGAAATGTCTTTTTTTAATTTGGAAGTGAGACATGGCCTTCTTTTTTCCTATGTGTATTTTCTCCTCAGTGCTAGAATTGCCACAGTTGCAGTCTGCTGTTCTTGCAGCCAGAAGGTGAACAGATGATTCTTTCTCCATCTCCTCTGTAGCCTGGTTGCAGAAGGCGGAACTGAGGGTCCAGTGTAGAAAAAGAGACACAAGTCCTTTGATTCTCAGCCGCTGTTCGCCCCCCTTGTCATTTCAATAGAAGCCCACTGCTGCTAATAATGATATTCTTCTCCAGTATTCTGGTCACTTTAATCTGGGGATTTTAAAATACTTCATAAACCTAGTAATGAAATTTTTGCATGCCTCCCAGAACCAACATTCTGCCTTTATTTTTCCAGGTAGTTACACTGAAGGGTGCTGGGTAAATTGTTTAAGATAATTAGGAGCCACACAGGGCACTGGGTAAAGTTCAGTGTTACACAATAGCTATTGTTGCTGTTTGCCTGTTTTTTCTTAGCTTCAAAAATTCACTAAAGCTAAGAGATCAAAAACATGGTACATGAGCCACATAATAAACATGAAAAATTAAATGCAAAGAAATGAGAAAGTTCCCAGATCTTTGTATTGAAGAGCAAGGTAACAATCTAAAGTAATCTCACGTTAAAGGTTCTTTAAAAGAAAAACTTAAGCCGGGCTTGGTGGCTCAGCCTGTAATCCCGCGCCTTTGGGAGGCTGAGGTGAGTGGATTGCCTGAGCCCGTGGGTTCGAGACCCGCCTGGGCAGGCGAGACCTCATCTCTACAATAAACTCAAAAAATCAGCCGGGCGTGGTAGCGCATGCCTATAATTCCGGCTACTCGGAAGGCTGAGGCGGAAGGATCGCCGGAGCCCAGCAGGTCGAGGCTGCGGTGGCCGGGAGCGGCCACTGCACTCCAGTCTGGGCGACAGAGTGAGACTCCAACTCAAAGAAAAAAGAAAAAGAAAAGAAAAGCTTAAAATTTGAAACTAGAACACCCAAATCGTCTGAAAACATAAGCTCTGCCACCATCACACTCCTTTACTCAAGATTTGATTTACAGCTAGAAGAAATCAATAGGATCAAATAAATAAAAAAGTTTCTATAGCTTGAATAGAAACTTTTCAATTATAATTCTCTATAAATTTAAGTTTTGCCGTAAGAAGGTAGGAGGAACATGAACAACTTCTTTAAACACTGCACTGGAAAAAAAAATCAGCTGATATTTGGTTGACAAAGTTTGAATTTAAGATAAAAAGACTTCCACATAATTTAATTTGGAGGTTATTTGATATATTTTTTTCCCTCTCTAATAGTCATGACCAGTAAAAGTAACCAAAAAAGTTTAGACTAAGACTAATTTTTTGGGGAAAAAATTTTATCATTGCTACCAAAAGGGAAATGTTGTCAAGGTAATACAATTATTAAAATGAGGAGAAAAGCTGAGCATATTCCTGGTGACACAATGTCCCTCATCTTTCATTCCAAATCTCTCTCCTAATGGGGCAGCTACTCTGCATACTCCTCAACGAGGCGTGGTGGCACTGCTTAAAATACAAAATAAACTTTAGCTTTGACCTTCATGCCAAAATATAAAAATGATTTAGTTGATAAAGAGATATGAGAGGACTGGTTGTTTTAATAGTCAAGGAAATAAAATTAGGAACCACATTGCTTGGGTTTAACCCTAGCTTTACTATTTACAAACTTAATGATTCTGAACAAGGCACTTAGTCTCTCTTGTACCTAGGTTTTCTCATCTGTAAAATGAAATGATTAGAGAACACAATCTCACATGTAACATGTATAACTACATGCATACACTGTGTACAACAACTAGAGCAGTGTCTGGTGCATAAAAAGTACTTGATAAGTGTCAAATATTGAACTGCTATTATTATTATAATAATTATTAGTATCTCTTATTGATTGATGGCAGGAAGGAAGCAAGGGGTTACACTCTAAACATCTCAATGAGGACGCAATATATGAATTACTACTGAGAAAATACTGCCCCAAAGATACAAGTAAATAGCCGGGCTTGGTGGCTCAGCCTGTAATCTCGCGCCTTTGTGAGACCTCATCTCTACAATAAATAAAAAAAAATCAGCTGGGCATGGTAGCTCATGCCTGTAATTCCGGCTACTGGGAAGGCTGAGGCGGAAGGATCGCCAGAGCCCAGCAGGTCAAGGCTGCGGTGGCCGGGAGCGGCCACTGCACTCCAGTCTGGGCGACAGAGTGAGACTCCAACTCAAAAAAAAAAAAAAAACGATACAAGTAAGTTTGAAGACAAAACAAGGAAGAACATTTCCTGGGGTATAACTCTATTAGGAGATTTATTGCTCCATTTTTGGAAGAGTTGCTAGACCACGAAAATTCAGAGTTGAGCAAATTACAAGCAAATTCACAGGTTTTTCTTTTAGATTTACACTTTGGGATCTGATTAAGTAATAAATAATTCATGAATTAAACAGAATATTCATAAATTGCTTTTCCCTCCACCTGCCTGTCCACCCACCCATTCAGGCAAATACTTGGGGATTTTGTCCCTTAGGTGGATGCTGGAAATAATGTGGCCTCTCCTCCACATGCAGAGGCCCAGAGCATGGCCCTTTGCTCAGAAGCATCATCTGGCCCATGGGTGGGCTGGAGGCCAGCCATCAGGATGTCCCTTTCTGAACTTCCCAATACCCTTGTTAAGTTAATTCTCAACTAACATGATTGAAAACAAGAAGTTGGTTAGGTCCTGGGAATAGGATCAAGCTTACAGAGGGAGGGGCTGACCACCGACATCCCTGACATGCTTGCAGCAGCAACACAACACAATAGTTAGGGGCAGGAGATGGGGAGTCAGCCGGGACTGGGGGTGAACCCTGATTCTGCCTCTTTTAGCAGTTGTTTGTCCTTTGCCAAGATACTTCACTTCTCTAAGTCTCAGATTTTTTTTTAGTTTTAAAACGGAGTTATGAGAGAAAGAAAGGGGGAGAAATTTGAAACTAGAACCCCCAAATCGTCTGAAAACATAAGCTTTGCCACCATCACACTCCGTGGCACGGGTGTCTTGGAGAAAGACTGTAAATTCTTCATCTTTAAGTGAAGACTATGAGGTCTGCTCACAGGATGCTGTGAGGCTTGCATGAGGTAATATACATAAAGTTTGTGGTCACTAGCTCAGAGTAAGCCTCAATAGGCAAATGCAATGAAAGAATCTAAAAAAAAAAAAAAATTAATTGAAGCCAAACACAGCCTCTCACAAACAATGCTAGCTGGTACACTGATGCTGATTTGCAAATGAGAACAACCACCATGTATTATGTCTCTGGAATCCCTATCAAAATAAATATAAGCTCAGGGAAGGTTACACATCTGCACATATAAGCGAATTAACCAAAAGTGATTAAATAGGAAGCAGAGAAGCAGATAAATTACAATGAGGGCAGAGGTGGGGAGAGACCTGAAGAAGGTCCAGGGACTGTCAAGGCATGGACATTAAAATGGAGACTCCTAGGCTACATGGAAGATTCAGTTCCAACTTTTGCTTCCGTATTCTAGTAACTGGCCTGACTGTTCATTACATCTTTGGGTTCGCCAAAGGTCAACCAAGTCTGGTCTTTTACTCACTGTCTTTTAACTCCACGAGAGCTTAATTTGGTAAGAATAGCATTGAAAATAAATTACAATTTATTAAGCACCTCCTTTTGTGTCCAGAATTATCTTTTGGAGAATGGGCCTTCCCTGCTAGGTAAGTGTTCTAGGAACCCGTCAGCATCAGCGTATTCCCTAGTGTTGTGAGAGGTTGCATTTGACTTCAGTGAATTCTTTTTGGAGATTCTTTCAGTGAGTTTGCCCATCTCACGGTGGGTGATTTATGAGTGCACTTGCCTACACGGTGCTGAGTGTTCAGCAGTTTTTGGCCAAAAGTAGCATGACACCCTCATGCTCCACCCTCCCTGTTCACTCAAACTCACCCTAAGCAACTTTTTTTTGGGTTGTTTCCCTGGATGAAAAAAGTCCTCAAAGGGAACCGTTTTGCCAATGTGGAAGAGGTGAAACAAAAAACAGCAGAAACACTAAAAGGCATCAAAATTGACGAGTTCAAAAATTGTTTTGAGCAGTGGAAAAACATTTCAATAGGTGTACTGCATCAAATGGAGAGCACTTTGAAGGTGACTGAAGTTTAAACACGTAAGAATAAATGCTCACTTCTTAAATACATAAATTCCAGAATCTTGGGGGGTCCCTCTTGCGTGTGTGTGTATGTGTGTATTTTAAATCCAATCATTTTAAGTACAGTCATGCATCACTTAATGATGTTACTGCACTGAATACTGTAGGCAGTTGCAACATAATGGTCAGTATTTGTATATCTAATTCTATCTCAACATAG